AATTGTGAAAAGTTCGGAATTATTGTTCTCTTCTGGCGATTCGTTCTTGGAATGGGGTATTGGTGTTTTATAATAAAATGATGATATAAAGGATTATATCAACGAATGAAATATACAACGAATGAAATATTCTTCAACGAAATTTTCCATGTTTCATTATGGCGAATGATTAAATTTTTTTAATTTCCACCACCTTCGATCAAGTTTTAAAATAGGATAATTCTTTCTTAGAATTGAATCAAACGTGGTTTATTAGATTATTTGGATCTTATTCATTCGTTATCTATTAAATCAGCCACGCTAACTTATCATACAAACACTCCCTCAAAATTCAATGTATCTTTTCCCTTTAATCCACGTTCAATCAACAGTCGATCAATATATATATATTAAAATAGAACGATTGTCGATAATGAAATAAATAGTTGCATGTATAATTTAATTAACTTCGAATACACTTTAACTAAATCCAATATTCTCGAAAGAATTTTTTTATAGAGTGAAATTCCTTGACGGATATCAAGCCAGTTCCATAAAAATTTTAGATCGTTGAGGTAAAGAGGGGTGTACTCGAGAAGCGTTTTCCATATCGGAGAGCCTTTAAATATTAATCTTGGACAGAAGAGAGAATGGAGGAATATAATCTGGCTTCATTTTTCCCCGATGCGAGGAATGTTTGCATCCGAAAATTCTTTTCCCTGCGTAGAAGGAAGAGTTAACCAGGGTAAACAGTCGTTGTCTTTCCTTCTAAATCCTTGCTCGTCCCCTGCGTGTTCTACGTGTATCGTGCTTCCGCGCCATTGTGGGTAATATATGGGCGGTGCGGTTTGGCACGGGGTCGAGAACGTAATATTTGAAGAACAGACGCATTGTTAAAGCGTTACGACGGAATACTCGTGTTTAATACTGGATGCTGCCGTGCTGAAAATGGCGCTCGTGCAAGCCTCGTGGAGATTTAATGGAAAGGAAACTCCATCTATTAAGAATATCTACTGCGGATAAAGATTCGGGTAATTACTTTAAAGAGTTTCGAAGGTATTCAAATTTTTTTATTTATTCAACTTTGCAACACGTTTGCAACCCATTATCTTTTCTTTTCGCGCGCGCTCACCTTATGTAAAATGTAATATTATGCGAGAAAATTCGTTATACGGTATAGTTCAATCTGTGTTGATTAAATATTCGCGAGGATTTCGCGATGAAACAACGAAAATAATTTTCTACCGAGGGAAGAACAAAGAATTCCGATATTTTATCGCAAGATTAAACTTGCTTTTTACAAATTGCAAATTACTCTTTCGATGGATAAATATGTTGGAAGAATCAAGTCGAAATATTGATTTAAAATACGTATGAATATTTTCCAATCCGTGTTCCAATTTTTTAAAAATCTTTTTAAAATTTAATACAGCAACAGTTTTTCGTAAACTACTTCGTAAACGAAAACATTTCAATGGATAATTCTGGCAATTAAAGAACTCGTATATCACCCGAGAACTCGTTAATTATAAAGCATGTCATGAAAAGAACAACAGAATTGCAATCGTCTAGTTCATTTTTCCCGTGAAAAGGGCAATTTCTCCACAAAATGGAGTAAATCTTATAAAAGAGCTGTCCGTTTCATTGGACTTATAGTTAATTCCGTCTATATTCATCTATCTTCATCTGTAAAACAAAAACAATTTATTGAGGAGTCTCGTCTTGCATCGTTCACTTATTCCAAGATTAAGAACGATTCTATGAAAAGATTTTCAGGTTAAATTTTATTATATTCAAGATCCTTATGAACAAGATATTATTCACTAGATCTAGTGCTAGTGATTTTGCATTAGTATATAGAAATTGCAAAAATTTTCTTCATCTGTATTTCACTTAAAATCACACGAATCTATTCCATTGCGATTCCATTTTTGTTTGTAGCATTTCTCTTCAGAATTGTTTGCATATCTGCGCCAATTTCAGAATTAAATCGAAAATTCCCCCGCAAAAACTTTATAACAATTTGCATCATTGTATTTCCCTTTTTCATACATAAAGACATATCATTTCAAAATCTATCACAAAAATCTAAGCTTCTTATTTAAGCTTTATTATACAGCTTTTCTATTAGAGATAACAGTATAAATCATTCCTCCAATTTAATAGTGGCGTGACTCGAAAACTCGTACCATCCTAAGAAACGTAACGCAATATCTCGCCATTATATTCATCGTACCATTTAGTCTTGAAACAAGAGCAAACTTGAAGGATTAGCTGGAATATGGAACGTTGAAAATTAAGGAAATCCCACCTCGAAAGGGTAAATACAAGACACGTTGCGCGAGGTCAAACTCGGATCGGTTTACCGTGGACGGAAGTTGAGTCGGAAGGTCATCTTTACTCGGCAGGAAGTCGAGTGTACCGCAATGCAGTTCTGGACGCCGCGCCGTGTATCCCGTGTACCATGTTCCATATCCTTCGTTGCTGTTTAGCACATAATGCTACAGGCATCCAATTCGGTTACGGAAGTACTTTTGACTTGAGAGAGTACAGTTGATCGATGCAAAATGACTTTTAATTCTGTCTCTATGAACGACGATCATTTTTGATTGAATATTAACATTGAATGCTGATTGAAAAGAAGTTTCGTGTTCTTTATTTATTTCAAGTTTTGACTGTGAATAATAAATATAAGAATGTTCGTTGTGTATTGTCGAGGAAAGGAATTTTTTTATCGATTTTCAACTCTGAAACGTAACGACAATACATATTTAAATGAGTTTTCTCTTCGTTATTTTTTCTACTTTCAACAAAAAGGAGACTACAGCGCATCTTATACAACAAAGCGTTACATAAATATTCGATATTAAGATAGAAGTTTCGTAACGAAAAATCAAAGATTAATGTGAAACTTATAAAATTGTAATTTGGAATGGAATAAGTCTTCTGATGAGAAACTTGGCTTGTATACTTTGGAAGTAGTTCATTGTTCCCGTTGTACTTGCTTGTTGTACAATCGAAAAAAAGCCACTGTGAAACTTCTGTTTACGCTTTTAAATTTTATTGTTTAACTGTGGATTATTAATTGCATTGCAGTATATCTAATCAAGTGGAGGATCGTGTATTTGAAGATAATGAGTTTTTATTCCATCTCGTAGAGTGTTGATAATCCAAAGCAAGGCTTTTTTAAAACAAATACGACGAATTTTCAATTGTTAAACTAACGATATGCGATATACCAGCAAGTAATTAGAAAAAGAAGAGCGAGAACAAGAAACACTTTACACGAGTTTTATTTGTATTTCCTAATTTTTCCTTTCTCTCTTTTTTCATATTTCCTTTTTGTTTTTCGAATTATTCGAATAATCGTATCCTCCAGAATTTGCATAAAATATATATACATACCAACTTATTATCTCACAGTTATTCATAATAAATTTTTATAGGTATTTCAATGTAACTTGTATTATAATTTCACATAATAACAAATCTCAGATTTTCCATTTCACAATTATTTGAAAGATCGATATACCTTTACGTATAAATTTCTCAAAATAATTTCCATGCATGATTTCCATGCTACCATGATTCTCACTCCCCCTAAATGACCTTTCCAAAATATTTTTACGAACCATCAAATCCCGAATAATTTTTCCAACTGTTCCAATAGATTAAAATCTTTATCTCACAACACAGATCACCCATCTGATATCGTCTCACTACCAATTCTGATAATAGCTTATCAGAACAACAATTAAAAATAACGCAACGACGATGAAATTAATGATCCTTGGAAAAGGGCGAATGTTTAAGAGCGCATCGCGTGCCTTCGCTTCTATACACCAAACAATAGAGTTGCCGAGTAAGCCGCGACGATACACTAAGGCTAACCTCCTCGAAGATGGCTGAGATACTTGCCGCGGGACGCCCAGCCATTATATCGGTGATTATATCGGTGGATGCTGATGGCGGGGAAAATGGAAGCCCGGCGTCAGCATTCGAGGCCGGCTCTTCAACGGCGTTGTTCGACCTCTTCAACGTCGCCTCCAATCGAACCGCGAATATCCCTCGTTTCCGCGAAGTGTCGTCGACGAATTTGGGATGGGATACGTGAGGGGTGAAAAGAAGAGATGTTGAGTAAGCCGCGATGAAAAAAAAGAAAAAAAAAATGGCCGCGGAAAAAGGTTAGATCGTGGTCAACAGGCAATCGTTGATATCGACTTCTAGCCATAATACAAAGGGACGGCTGAATTGACCGATCGTTCAAGTATCGAAGATAATTGCTTGAGTGGAATGATGAGATTACGAACTATGAGTATTCGATGCATTCATGAATCGAGGATGGTTGGCTTTGAATATCGGATGGTTGAAATTGATCCAGCTTTGCGTCTCGAGAAACATCGTTTTAAACGAAGTTTCAAGATATATTTTCATTAAATTAATTTAATGAAAATATTCTTTTCCTTGTTTAGATGGAATATATATATTATATTATATTGATAATTATGATAAATTGTTACGTATGAAATAGTAACAAAATTCAAGAGAGAAAGAGAGAAATTCATATTTTACACTGTTCTTGGTTTGATTAGATGTTCGTTTTAATTTTTTATTAGCGTTTTAATTTGATCGCGGGGAACAAGGATCGAGAAAATTCCGTTCGTATCCAAGATATTTCAGTAAGATAAAATATGCATTAATTTTGTAATTAGAGCAAAAAAGGATTCATGCAAAATGTGCTATTTAACGTACAGTCCCCAGAGAGATCTGGATTTGACACGTCCGACCAAGCACTCCAGCGACACGTGATTGACGTTTTCGGATAGTAATAAGCTGTACGTGCCAGAAGCATGGCGGCGACACAAGCATCGCAGCGAAATGCGATTACTTCGCGAAAATCATGCAAACCAGAATCTTTCGTACGAAATATCAATGTTGCATTTTTACCTCCATTTATTCTTTCCATCAGTATCGATCAGGTCGTATCGTTAACGAGAACAACTCTCGTTTTTTCGTTTCAGATTCTTGACGTTTTGCTATCTGGCAGCCCTGCACTGTTGGTTATTACTTTGTCCAGCGACGCTGTCTCATGATTGGCAGATGGGATCCGTTCCTTTGGTTGCCTCGTTGGCCGACACCAGAAATCTGGCCACCTGCCTGTTCTTCGGCGGTTGCCTGATCCTAACCTACAAAGCCTTCACGGACTTCGAGGTAAGAATTTCGAATAAAAATATGGCAAAGTAAAATTTTAGATCTTCATTTTGTGCTAATGAGATGTCTTCAAATATTCGGTATGGAAATGGAAATTAATGATACATACCTTTTTTGTGCGAAAACTTTGGATTTTGATTAGATTATTAGGAAGAGATATGGAATTAAGATCAAGACAATTAGCTTCTTAAATCTGAAACTGATGCAAATAGTTAAAAGAGCTGGAGAAATGTGAAACAGAAATTTAAAAATGCAAATATTGGATAAGATTTCTATGTTGAAAAAGTACCAAATCAAATCTGAAAGACTATCAAAAAATGATATTTTCTTCAATAAACCTAAATGAAATGTAACAAAAAAGAAAATTTGTTTCGATATATTTATATTCTTCTATTGATACTTCTTCTAATGAATGATACTTTGTTTATAAAGATTATTCATCTTGCAATTTATAAAAACGATGGCTGTAACTAAACATCATTCAGAAAATATAGAGAAGATGAATATTAAAATTAAAAAATATTCAATTTATACATTGAATTTACTTTAAAAAATAAAAAAGAGAGAAGTTGGAACTTACTATAATATCTTTCTTCATAAAATTTTATTAAACCACGCTGAAAAACACTCGAGATTATATTCACCTTATCAATCTGTACAAGATTTTTATTACCTGTAACAAAACCAAGATATACACAACAAAATTTAGTACCCTATTATTCAACAAATCTCTTATTATATACGCATTACATCTCCCTATAAAAATGCAATCTATCGTGCACTCCTGTTCCCTGAAAAACTCCATTAAAATTTCCACACAGGATAAACTAGAAATTTCCACAAGGTGAGTTCAATTTTTCCTCCTCCTGTTTGAAATTTCGCCATCACGAGTATTCACGCTGTCAGCTGTTTCCCTAATAACCCTTAAAGGGGCAACGTAACAAAATTACACGGCTCTCGGCCGATTAATAACGCGAAATTAATAACTTTCATACGTACGGTTCCATATCCTCGTGTACACATCCCCCCCCCCTCTCTCGACCGACGAAAAGAAAGTTGGTTAATTGACCCTCCCGATGTAACAACTCTGTTGTACCAATGTTGTACACGTGCAACGTGTAACGGCAAGCAAAGTTAAACGACCGGCCAGTTATCGTCCGCAAGAAGTCATTCCACCGCTAAACGTTTCGCCCACGAATACGCCAGCCAACGAGCCGCAAACTTTTGCCCTGATCCCCTCCCAGCCTATGATGAAGCTGTACTTGCCTCGAGAGTCATAAAGAAAGTTTCACGATGGGCACGACCCATCGTCGAGCGGAGCGATATATATCCTGGCTGACCCAACTCTGGTCACCTCGACGGTTTTCCGGGTCGTTCGACGGTAATGCCGACCGTTCAACGTAATCACCCCCTTTAAACTCGAGAACGTGTGCGACAACTTTTCTCGAAAGAGATCCATATCCCGTGCGTGGTTTTAACATCGTATTCTCCTCTCTCTCTTTCTCTCTATCTATCTATCTATCTATCTATCTGTCTCTATCTCGGTTTCCATTTTACATCAAGAGAATGGCAGTTGGAACAATCGTGATCGAGGCGCACAGTGTGACGTTGATGGAACCGCAAGCGGATCATCTTCTTGGAAGGAAGGAACGAAAGCCTTGTTCCCTTTCGTCGCAATAATCTTTGTACCTAACATCCGATTTTGAGGGACGTTTCTGTAATAACGCCCCTCGGCATTGTTCTCTGATGCTATATTGTCTGCATTCAGCTCACATCTTCGACACACTTTCGTGTGTCAAGATGGCGGGGAGTGTTTCGTGGTATATCGGCAAGCGGAAGCTGTTTGGAGGAACGTTTGGGGAAGGCTTTTCGAGACTTGATCGAGAAATGGATCTCCTTAGGGCATGAACAGAGTTTTGTGATTTTGTTCTCGAGGAACTTTTGAGAAAGTTTTGCATTGTACGTTGTGGAAATTTGTGGATGAAGAGTTTTTTTTCTAGATCATAATCGTGAAACACGATTATTCGTTCGTATGTGAAATTAGATCTTTTTTTTTTTTTTTTTGAATTTTGAATTGGTACGAATTAAAAACGAATAAAGTTTAAATTTAGAAAATTAGAATATGTAAAGATATAAATATACTTGAGATGAAAATTAGTTGAATTTAAAATAAATCATTTTTTTTTTTAATAGAGAAAATTTATGTCTTTTACGGGATCAATGTGGCTATAAATTTACGATGATTATAGAACGGTATGCAAATATGTCGGACAATAATTTACCCGTTTATCCCGTTGAATCAATTGGAACGCATACACAACCTGTGATCACGAAATTGCTGATCCAAAATTGATTCGCGTCTAACACACCCTTGAAATACGACAACTGGCTATCATTGCCTTGCATTTCCTGCCCTGTAATCGTTTCAATTCATCTATTCCTCTTCTTTCGGCCTTATTTACTCTCTTGTTACTCGTGACAAATGATGATAATTTTACTATAAAAGAAAAAAAAATTTTTTAAATATGATAGATCGTGTAATTAATAGATACGTGTTTTTTAATAAGAAAAAAATGTTGTTTCAATGAAATTCAAGAAATTTAATTACGTTTCTAGAATAATTACTTTTGATTTATATTAAAATTTCTGTATTTGTGTAATTAATAATGATTAATTTTGATACGTGTACATATTACGTGGAATATGTAATTAAAAACACGTTTCAAAAATGTATTTTTCATTAACTTGCAGATTATAATTTTTATTAATAACATTTACACAATTTAATTTTTTTTTTTTGTAATTATGAATATTTATAATTACACAATTGACATTTTAGTCGTTCGATATTATAATGCAATATAGTATAGTGTTTAATGATTCGTAAAATATACACGATTTAATCCATTATTCTCTCCATTAATCTTAATTAACGTGAACGAAGCTAAAATGAAACTGATTTTTTACGTTTTCGATTCCGTTAATCATAACATTCGTATATTTTCTGAATAATCATTGCAACAAACGCTAAGCACATGAAATAATAATTTTATTATTAATCAAAAATATTTATTATTATTGCGCTGTTGATATATCAGTTTTAATTCCATTTCTCTCCAATATATCGACCACCTTTTCGTACGAACTTCTTGAAATCTCTTCGCTGGTCACGACAAGTGGTTTCGTGTTTTCTATATGCGCGATTCTTACTGGCCCTTCAGAAGCTTGTTTCACTATGTAAACATCCACCTTTTCTCGATTTGATTCCTTTGCAAAACAGAAAAAAAAGAAAACAAATTACACGCTGCTAATCTTTGTCACAAGATTCTTAATAACGAAAAGTCATAAACTCTTATACTTTCTTGAACTATACTTACTCGAGATATACTCGAAGATTTATCGTCCATCCTTTCAACGCTGCCAACTTTTGGCGCATCCTCATTGGTCGATACGCGGTCGTCGTACGTGGTTGGAACTTTTTTATCCTTTGAATCATCTCGAAAATGTGTAAACAGGGAAAGAGATTTGAGAACGGTGTATAAATCGTCATTCTTAGTTTCGACCCCAGAAACTTTGCTCGGCGATCTATAAGATGAGAATTTCATTGATCTGTCAGAATCTTTTTCATCTGAATGCGATTCAAACTCGCTCAAAGATACAGGGATGGGCTGCTCGCTCTTATTCACGATTTCCGCCTGAGGTTTTGCTAACTTCCAGAAACTAGGCTGCAGTTTCTTTGCGAATTTAACGTTTGGAATTTCTACGCTTATTTCGTTGGATGGCGTCGTTTGAGAAACATGGGACAAAGGGCCGCTCGACTTAAGATTTCTTTCTTTCTCGTCCAAAGAGAAATGTGCGTTTTCTAGGCTTGGAATGGAAGGAATTTTTGAGGGATTATTTATCGGAATCTTATTCGTTGGTGGTGGTTGATCGAACAGTATGTTGGCCCATTGATCGAGAGGTTTAGGAATATTAGGTATTCCTTGATTTTGTATTATTTGGAACGATTCATCATTTTTATCATTGTCTGTATTCTTTACTGGTTTTAAGTTTTCTGAATCACTTTTTTCTTCGTACTTATTTAAATTATTAATGGAATTAGATTTATAGTCGAAAATAGTCGGTTTATTGGAATTATCTAAATTATTGTTAATCGCAGTAGACTTAATTGATGTATCAGAGCCAATATCTTTTTTCAAATCAAGCTTTGACTCAAGCTTCGGTATTTTCGATTTTAGTATCTTTGAGTCCTTTGAATCGTTGTATTCAATATTTAAATCATTAATTGCAGCAGATTTAATATCTTTTTTCAAATCAAATTTTGATTGATCCTTTACGTTTGATTCGTAATTCACTTGTTTTGGATTATTTAAGACTGAGTTTTCATCTTTAATATTTAAATTATTATTAATTGCAGATGTATTATCCAATTTAAATATATTATTGTCTTTTATGTCAAATTTTGATTCATTCTCTGCTTTTGGTTCATGTATAATTTTCCTTGAATCACTTAAAATTGAATTCTTGTATTCATTATGTAATTCATTTTTAATGACGTTGGGTACATCTGTAGATTTAATTAAAACATTGTGAGCATCGTCTTTTACGTTAAAATTTAATGAATTCTTTATATTTGATTCATGCATGATATTTTTAGAGTCATCTAGAACTAATCCATTTTTAATTGCATCAGATATGTACGTAGATTTAATTGACGAATCAGCATTTTTCTTTAAATTCATTTGATCATCGATCAATCGATCTTCTATTTTTGATTCATAGATCTTTTTATTTGAATCACTCAGTGCTGAATTTGTGAAATCATTTTTATCAACAGTAGATATATAATAAGGTTTGATTAATATATTAGGAGCAGTATTTAAATTGAATTTATCTTGAATTTCATGTTCTTTTAATATCTCATTTTTATTCTTCAAATTCAAATCTCTCACTGTTGAATTTAACTGGTTTGAAACAATATTATATCCTTTTTGATTTTC